GGGTGGCTCGATCCGTGCCAGGTGCAGGGTCTGCTTTCTGGGTGCTGGCAGGCTTGCACCTGGCATGGGCACCGTAGCCAGCCCGTGCCCCTTTAAGAGGTCCGGCGCTGGGAGGGGGGCAGACGAGTTTCCCTGGTGCTGGCCAGAGTGGCCACCAGGGAAACCTGGGGAGGGCTAGCCTCCCACTAGTTCAATTAAGGGTCTACACAGCCCTTAATTCGAACTAGTAAGTTCGAACTAGGCTTAATCCTCGTGGAATGAGGATTACCTAGTTCAAACTAAGCGCTCCGTTCGAATTAAATTCGAACTAACGGAGCGCTAGTGTAGCGCCTATGAAAGTTAGTTCGAACTAACGTCCGTTAGTTCGAACTAACTTTGTAGTGTAGACATACCCTATCAGAGGCAGCAGCGTGGGGATCCAGGTAGGAGCAGGTCTCTGAGGGGAGTCAGTTTAAAAACCAGCTCCCCTCACGGACCAGCTACCTGTTGCCCTGCACTGTTGTCTCTGATATAGAGGCAGCAGCACAGGGTGGCAGCAGCCCCTGTCTGGGGACCTGGCTCAGGCTAGAACTGAGCTGGGCTGCCTGCCCTCCTGGCTCCTAATACACTTTAAATGCAGAGTTGCACCAGGGATAGGTCCCGGACCCAGTGCAAGCCAGGACTGAGATGGGCTGCTGGCCAGCTTGCTAATGGCAGATGGGCCGCTGTCCAGCCTCCTTACTGGCAGGAGTAGGGGGGAAAAATGTGTATAGTCTATAGCATTAACCTATAAGCCTTTACTTATTGGTTAATCGGTTAATTGACTACACTATTACATCCCTAGTGAGCACCATATGGATTCAAGGGTTGGAAGCCAGAAGAGTTTTTAGCATGATATAGGTGACCCACTTGGTTTCAGGGCACGAAGGGAAACATGCCAAATTTTCAGTTACTCTGTCCTAACTGTGTATTTCCTAACAAAATGAAGCAAGATGAAGTTGGTGGCTGGGGAGGGAGAGAGGAGAGATGGACTGGTGCATCCTACTTTTACAGTTAGAGGAGAGATTACAGTAGTAGGCTCTATAGATGTATGGGCATGTGCTTTCAAAGCAGTTTATATGGGAGAGGCTGATATCCTATGAGAGTCCACAATGACTGATTCATTTCTTGGCTGGGTCAGGATATAAGCAGATTTCTACTTAGGGGACATTGCAAGACAATTTTCTTCCTTCCTGAAGATGGTTACAGGATAGACAAGAGAATGCGAGTCTGTTTGAATATTGCAAACTTTAGCTGAGCTATTGTTCTATGCCACTGTTTTTCCTCTCTAGTATCTTTAATATATGACAGCGAGAGAGGGAATTTGTATTTTTCTGCATCAGGACTGTCATTTCTGATAATTTTTCTGTCTTATTTGGAGTTCAAATTTGAGAATGGGGGAGGATGGCATGTTAGTTTTTTCAGATTAAATTGTATGCAAGACTTAAGAATTGTACTTGATTATAGAGTACTATGAGTATGTTATAAATACCTAATATAAATATAAAGAATCTATTTTTTTTCTCTGTTCATTTATCATAGTAGTGTTCTAATGCAGGCTGATTTTGTATACGAACTTCTAATCAGTCCGTCTGGATTGTATGCATTTCAGTGCTCACTGGCTTTTAGCAGAGGCCCAATTTTCAAATGCAGGTGCCTAAATATAAACAATTAAAAGTAAATTAGTTTAGGTTTGATTCTTTAGTTTAAAGATACTTAAACATTAGCATAAAATACATCAGCTTTGTCATTAGCAAGAATCACACCTAACAAAAGCTTGCCTTTAAAACCAAAAATTGTTGCTGAACTAATTTGAACAATTCACACTTACTGTGCCTACTTGTGTATTCCGTTTGTCTGTGGAAGATGAGGATAAACATATTCTTTGCATATAAAATTATTACAATAATATTGATATATATTTAGGGTTTTAACTACTATTGAATTCCAATTACAGTATTTGAATTTACAGTATCTAAACCTTAGTCTACTGAACTGCCTTCATGATTTTCTGGTCTATTGAACCTTGATTATTTGAACATAATCTTTTGAGTGGTTCAGTTAATCTGGATTTTACTGTACCGTCTTTTTTAACACATTGAGCATTTAGAAATCACTTAAATTTTTATAATGGGGCAGTCAAAAGGCTAATTAATTGAATGGTTAATCTTAAACATTAGGTCTGATTTTGAATTGGGAGATTTGTAAATATTTAGCTTGTAATGTAACTAGAAGTATAGACTGAGCCAGTATGTTCCAGGATTCCTTGGAAAATTCATTGTGAAAGGTAACATTTGCTTATTATTTTAGCCACAGATATCATTGGAAAATAATTTTTCCCCTATCCCAAGCAGAAATTGGATTGGAAGATGCAGGCAGCTGTTCCCTCTTACATTACATCCAGTTAAATATGGTGAAACATTTTAATTAAGCAACAAGCTTAATTTAGAGTAGTCATTTAGCTCGAGGTAGATTTTTTTTTCCTTTCCAAAAATGTTTGGATTCTAAGAAATGTATGAAAGTTTTATATGCCAGTCAAAATCTGGAAATAGCAATTAACCATTAACATCATCCATAATGTATATAGCAGTGGTTTCTGAAACTGTGTAGAGAGATTGAATTTTCTAGTAGCAAGAAGTCTGTTATAGGGCTGAAAACATGTCTTTCGTAACACTCTTTTGTAAATACTGATTAAAACTTGATAGAAATGTAGCCGTGTTAGTCTGGTGTAGCTGAAACAAAATACAGGACTATGTAGCACTTTAAAGACTAACAAGATGGTTTATTAGATGATGAGCTTTCGTGGGCCAGACCCACTTCCTCAGATCAAATAGTGGAAGAAAATAGTCATTAAAATTTAGGATTAAAATTTAGGAGTGTTATCTAAATCTAGACTACTTCTGTACCATTAACTCCATGTATACTTAGAATAAAACAAATGCTTTGAAAGTAATTTTCACTGTCACATACATCCTCCATTATTAGTAGTAGTAGTGGTAATAAGTAGTAGTGATAACATCACAAGGGAAGGCAGTATTGCCTAGCTGATAGAGCACTGGACGGGGACTTAGGAGGCCTGAGTTCTATTCTTTACTCTTGCCATTGGCCTACTGGGCGCGTCACATCACCTCTGTGCCTCTTTCTCTGTTTGGATAATGGTAATAATTATACATGTCTTTTTAAAATATATCACTCTGAGAATTCCTAAGCTCTGTATACGAACTAGGTGGTAGTTGTATTCTGCCTAAAACAGACACATTCCCCCCTCCAGAGATTAAAAACAAATGATCAGAGTGATGTTATATTATTTAACTCAGATACTTAGCATAGTGTACTTTGTGTTGAGATACTGTCTTTTGGATGAGACCTACAATAAGGTTCTGACTGCATTTGGTAATTAAAGATTTCACAGTACTCTAGGGTTGCTATTTTGGTTCAGTTTCTAACATGGATAGTTATGTTCTGACCAGCTGAATTGCTCATGCAGTTTTGGTTCTTGTATAGTATTTTCCACTTTTTGTTCTAAGCTGTTACAACAATGCCTTTGATCCCCCGGGTGGTTGCATTTCCTTGACTAATTAACTGAATTGGGATCCTTTTGAGTTGAAAGATGTTATATAAGAGTATTATGTATTAATCAATCCAATAATCCATATAAAATAAGATGGAAGGATTTGTACTACATTACGAGAAGATCTTAATCGCTTTCTATATCTTTGTTATAGCCCCCTGATGATTATCACACAGAAGATCACAACTCTTGCATTCCAATTGCATGATGGTAAGCAGACAAAACTCCCGTTATTCTAAAGGCAACATTTCCATTCCCATCCATTGTCTTCAGTGGAGTTACGCCAAGGGTGAATTTAATTCACTGTGTTTCTCTCAGCAAGGAAGGGCAGAGCTTTGTGAAGACCAGACAGATTTTGCTTTACTTTTCCTGTGTCTAAATCTTTTTTAAATAATAAAAACGCTTTTACACCTCAGAAGATTAATTCTGTGGACTGAAAATTAGACTGGTTTGGAGTCCATGGGCCTAATTCTGATATCATTTAATATGTGTTTGACACCTGTGTAATACAGCTGACTTTCTGCAAGTTACTCTTGATGCTTACTGATATGAGAGATCAGAATCAGGCCCAAAGACTTAACATGTTCACTCCTGAATCAGTGCTAGCCTAAGGCATGAGTTTAAAAACATGACTAATCAAAATAGAAGTTTGCGGCTGGGATGTCAATCTATCCCTGGGGGGGGCAACCTTGTAGGGGAAGGGGGAGGGTCCAACACCAAAGTGCCC